AGTCAAACAGAATTCTACTGCTGAGAAATCTCTAGTATCCAGCATCTATTATCTAGTCTTTTCCAGTGATGATTAATGTATAGAAGCTTAAGTTATTTATTTTAAAATATTATAATTAGAAGCAATGATAGATCAAAGGTTTTGCTCCTGAACACCAGGTGAGAGGTTTTCAATCAAAATCACATTTAAAATACCTGGAATAGCACATATCCTACACACCTTTTGTTTTCTACAAATCATGCATGCTGCAGACAAATCATTTGCGCTAAACAACCTCAAATCTGGTTTTCTAGTATTAAGCACAAAGGAAAAACACTGACAACAAGCATGGTAAATAAATCCCTCCCTTGAGAATGAAAGCAGCAGACAGAAGAGGGCTGACATGCATGCAAGAGAAACCTCACACACCATTTTTTTTCTACCTGCACAAGTTGCCATTTGCTGCAGCCCTCAGAATCGGTTTTTTTCCAGCTGGTCTCAAAAGCAAAATATTCAGGCACTTCTCAAGGCATCTGTTGATAAGCTTTACAAGTATAATATTCCAACAAGAGTATTTTTAATAGAAAATGCATTTTCTTTCCTGCTCAGGTAAACATGTTTACAGATCCTGCCCAGAGACTGGGTGGTTCAGACTTGCATGTCACAGGCATGTCGTCAGCAAGAAAAGCCCCCTTTTCTCTATCATTAACATTTTAAATAAGGTAACAACAGAGCGGCTCTTTCCAAACTTACCTATAATATAGATTCAACATGAAATATACACAGGTCTAAAATAGGAAAATAGCTACACACACACATACATATACACTTGTGCTATAAATAAACCCACCCACAACGGAGTAAGAAACTACTACTTCAGAACCAACACCAGGTCAACTTGCTAGTCGGTTGGAAGGCCGGTGTTTATATGTGCATTTCGCACGTTACGATTCATAACCAATGGCGCCCTCCCGCCCAGGGAACGATAATTCCTTCTCCGGGATATCAAAACCCCATGCTAAACGTCATGATCTTGGACCAACCGCTAAAAACCTTCCTATCCATAACCGTATACAGGAAATGCCAGACGAACACACACACACACACGCAAAAAAAAAAAAAAAAAACTGCCAAGAAAGGTTACAAAACCTCCCGTTTGACATCCTATGAAATCACCAGCTTTCCCGTTATTTTCTAGAAGAAATAAGGGAGTGGATCCAACAACGCGGAACTTTGGTGTGTTTATTTCCCCCTTTTCAAGTCGTTTCTTAAAAGAAAAGAAACAAAAAGAGACAAATGGGAGAAGTAAAGCCCCATTCCTTATATAGGCTGTTAACAGTTCATTGCGAAGAAGCGGGGGAAGGAGAAGGGGGGGGGGGGCTCGCATCGGCCAAATCGTTACCACCCATTATTATGATTATTATACAAACAGGTACCTCGGAATCCAAGAAGAGGGCGAGAGAAAGAGAAACTTGGCTGATTCACGCTCCCTCCCTAACCCACAGCGAAGGGAGCTTTTTCTTTTCCATCGCGTTGATAAAGGAGAGAAGATACTAGGCAAAAAAAAAAGGGGGGGGGAGAAAAGGAAGACGAGGGGAGAGGGAGGGGGGAGCCCACTTCTAATAGTTCTGCCAAGATCTTGGAGGTTGGCGGGGTGTAAAGAGGAGAAACAATATGTTCAATGGCCACGGAGATAAATCAACATGCACTGCAGGCACTAAAAGAGGCGGAGGCGAAAGAGTGGCGGGGTGGGGGTGGGGGGGAAGAGAAAAAAGCAGAAGAGGGAGGGGGAAGAAAGTGAGAGCGAAGGGGGAGGGGGGGTCCCCCTTTCAAGGCGATGTCAGGGGGTGCGCATGTGGCGCGTTTCCCTTGCAAAGAGAAAAAATAAAATAAAATAAAATCGATACACACTGCAGCAAGCAACAGTGCTTCCATCTCCTGCTCCTCCTCCGCCGGGGCCAAAACACGCCACCCTCCCGGACACCCGAGTCCCCATTACACAGTCCTCCTGCCTTCTCCGACGTTTCGCTGCCCCGAAGAGTTTCTGCTTAGTTAAGCGCGCACTCCTTCCCACCTTCCGCTCAAAAAGTGCCCAAAACCCACCGGTCCTCCCCGTCCCCTCCCAGGCACCCCAAAATGTGAGAGGAAGGGGCGTTGGGAGAGGGAGGGAGAGCAAGGGCAGTGCTAAAGGGGGCGATCGCCCCCCTTACAAAGCACTGCGTCTCCCCCCACCCGACTTTCCCGGGGTGAGAGGAAGAGTCGGGAGCGAGTCCCCCCGTTTCCTCCAGCAGCCCTCGCCTGGAAAAGTTTGGGGAGCGGGGTGGTGCGGCCTCCCCCTTTTTTTCGGAGCCGCCGAGACCCGCCTCAGCCCAGGTAATAAGTTTGCAAGTTTGGGGCTGCGAAGGTGACTGGGAGGAGAAGCAGCGGCCTCGGCCGCCCCTCGTGGGAGATCGGAGCTCCCCGGGCAGCCCTTCAGTTCTGGCCCCGGGAAGAGGGAAAAGCGGGGCGAGGGGATCCTGCGAAGCAGAGGAAGGGGAGGCAAGGTGGCTGCGGACGGCGAGTAACGGTCCCCGAGCCGAAGAGAGGCATCCGGGCAGCAGCAGCCGGCTGAGCGAGGAGGCACCGCTAGGCGGAGAAGAAACAGCAGCCAAGCGGGGAAGGAGCGCAGAGAGACAGGCGGCCGGGCAGGCAGCAGGTAGCGGATCTAACGGTGCAGAGGGACCGGGCTCCTAGGGACGAGCTCCCGGGCAATTACTTTCTACTTCTCGCCTCCTTCCCTTCTCTCTTCCCCCCTTCTTCCCCATTCCACCCAAGCTCAAGCCGATCCGGCCCGGCGCATTGAGCGGCCCCAGCCAAGCTCGGGCCGCTGCCCGGCGAAGCTGACTGACCGTTATTGCGCCTCGGGTTCGCCTGCTTCCTGCGCTTACACCTGGGGCCATCCGCCATGATCCTCTCGCTTGTGTCTAAATGCTCCAGTCACCTCCTCCCCCCCCTCCCCTTGCTCTCTCTCTCCCCCCTCAGCCCCCGCCCGGACCTGGTTTACGACACTGGGAGGTTTGGTGTGAGTGTGTCTGTATGTGTGTGTGTGTGTGTGTGTATGCGTGCGCGCGTGGTGCTTTTTTTTTTTTTTACTTTTTTACATCACCTTCCTACACCTAGTGCTCGGCCGCCGGAACCTTGTTGCCAGGGGAGACGCCCGCTTTACGGCAGCGCGTTTGAACCGGCAGGAGGGAAAAGTTTCTCTCAGCTCGCCAGTAGGCAGGTACTGTTTATTGCGGGGGGGGGGCAGGGGGCGGGACACCCCTCAGGGAGCGGGGTGGGATCGAAGGGACACAGAGGAGTTTCCTTTCACAGGAGGGATACCCAAGGGGAGGGGCGAGGAACGGAGAGTCTCCTCAGGCGCACCAAGCCAAGCTCCGCGCGGGAATGGCCCGTGTGGCGTTGCCGCCGAGCAGGACGGACCGAAAAAGCGGCAGACGGCCACCCGAAACTCCGTTACCGAAGTTTTCCTTCTTTTCTCACTTTATTTTCTTTTTTTAATAACACGGAGCTCTAGCCCGTGACAGAAAAGAACGCGGAAAAAAGTTAAAAGGAAGACAAAAACGAACACATTCTAAAAGAGCGCTCTGGCGAAGATTTATAACGGCACGAACTGCCCTGTGCCACAACTTCCAGCCATGGGATGCGTTACTTTTACCCTGCCAAAAAAACCAACATCACCACGTCCCCCTATATTAGTATAGTATACTAATTACTGCATATTAGTAAAAATGTATGAAGTGGAGTTTTTCCCTGAAGGAAAAACACATATATAACCTTTTATCTGTTTCTTTTGTCATGTCATCAACAGAGTGGATTCTGGTGTTTGAAATGATAAAGGAAAGGGAAAGCAGTATTTCCTGCAGGTAAATAGAATACACTTCCCAGACCACCACTATCCAGTATTAGCACATGGATCCAAGTCCCTAAAAGATTATGCTATGACAAATTCAGACAAAGAAAGACTTGTAATTTTTCTTGCAATAAAATGGTTATTATGGCATGTCCTTTGAAAGGCCAATGGAATTGGGAACAAATTGACATTTGATTTATCATTCTTGAATAAATATAGATTAGAAGCGGCAACCAACACTATTTCCACTTGCTGTATATTTGGGTGAAATATCCCATTTCTGAATAAACATTCCATAGTATATAACAATACTAAAGTAATTATCAATAATAAAAATGTCAATGAAAAAATCAGGAATCAGTAAAATCAAAATATAACAACTGTCAGTCTCACCTGTGGTGCAATTTCAGTCAGTGCCCTGGTATATACTATTTTATATGATTGGTCAATTTCTTCTGATACATACAAATTTAGAAGAAAATCTTTCTGAAGTAATAGGTTTTAATTCTAATTAATATGGATAATACAAGTAGTCCTTGACTCAACCTTGACTCACTAAATTAATTTAGTGATGGCTTAAAGTTACAGGAACACTGAAAAAAGTAATTTATGACTGTTTTTCACATGCCCATTACAGCATCTCCATGGTCATGTGATCAAAATTCAGATGCTTGACAACTGGTTGAAATTTTTTAAAAGCCTATTAAATTATCTAAAACTAAAGAAAGAAATGGCCAGCTTTAATCTTTTCAATGAGAAAAGTTTGCAATCAAGAAAATATACTGAAAAGATCTTTCCCTGTCAACCAGTTTCTTGCTGGTAAAAGATACAAAAATTCTCTAGAATGGATCCTGAACTATAAAGAGATTGAAGCAGGAAATAGCATGTCAGATATTCTAGGTGAAAGTGGAATGGTTTGCTTTTTCAAGCTATTTTTCAAGATGAATGTTAAGATGTAAACACACACACACACACGGACAACTAATTTGAACCTGTATGAAGTTATTTTTCCTTTTTCTTTACTTGCAGTGACCAATATAATGCAAAATAATGTTGAATATGATAATGATCTTAATTTAAAGAACACTATTAAATAATTTTTTTTTTTTTTTTTACAGTGAGAGTCTTTGGGCCCAAGAAAAGAAAATGGAGAACATTTTCGGAGATTACCGAAATCTTAGAATTAAAAAAAAAGCTGGCATACTTCTGTCTAGGACATCTATTATTAGAGATTTCCAAAACACTAATGTATAGGTAAGTATATCTTTACCAATAGAGACAACCACTGGTTTCATGCTTGAATGGTATTGAAAATTATGGTTGCTAGATTACCTGGAATTTTGGAATACCCAGAAAGGCAATTGAGATCTTAAACAGAAAACACACTTTGAAAACTTAAATTCTACTGAAGTAGTTCAGAATAAACTGGTGAAATTATAATGTACAAGGGTAATGAAATTCATCTGTTTACAAGAATGATAATAGAGTTCTTCTGATTAAAAAGCTGTGCATTAGAGTGCAATTCCTTTTGCAGATCTGTAATACTTTACATCTTCATTTTGTCTAATTATAATAGTTAGCTTCAGCCCCTCTACAGATTAGTGACAGCAATTTATTTTTCATGTACTTAAAAATAGGTTATACCATAGAATAATTTGCATAGTCAATACTAATTATTACCCTAAAAGAGTTTTGAAATGGATTAGAATATGGTTAGTAACTGAATATAAAAGCTCATATACATTTAAGTCCATGTCCTTCAATTTCTTTAAAGACAGTGTTCTTTCCCCTAGTGTTTTATCATTCTACATATTTCTGTGTCTTTAGTAAATCTGATTATTCGTTATTTTTGCCAGACTAGACAGTTAACCTTGATTATGTCAAAATAACTCATTTCTTTTTCAAAACAGTAAATGTGCACTATCATTTGATGATATGAGCTCTGCACTCTTGCTTTTGGGTCAGATGTAAGAAACAGAGTTTGTGTCACAATGACCTTTTACTTATTCATTTAAGCAATTTACAGGGCCACCCATCTAATTGCAACCCTAACTCTAATGCAATGATTGTAGAGAATTGGAAAGATGACCTTCATGGAAATATGCAGGAACAATTCCAAAGCTTTTTGCATCCTGAACAGCAAGATAACATTTGAGAACAACTTAGTCCCTTGCTAATTCTGAGGAGGAGGAGGAGGAAGAAGAGGAGGTAGAGCACAATCAGATTTGCAAAAGTCTGTGGTTATAACCAATCTCAGTAAGCATACTTTAGCCTACCTATTGTATAATCAAACATAGGGCCCAAAGCAAATAATCATGGCTTAGTGCAGTATATATTAGACAGCATCTGCTGGTGGAACTGTCTCCAAAGAATATTGAGACAGATCCTGACATAACAAAGGGATGTACATCTCAGAAAGATGGGAGAGATTAATGCATAAGTAACAGATGATATAAGCATATATACTATATATTCATAGGATCTCAAGTTACTGTAGACAATGGAACTCAGGATTCTGCCTATTTTTTCTTTTGTATCCTTTTTATTAGTTTATAATATGAAATACAAAAGCAAATAATAGGAAAAATGTGGGAAAGAAAAGGCAAGAAAAAAGTGTAGAGAAGAAGGGAAAAAGAAAGAAAACACATTGATGTCGGACTCATTTTGGGGCAGTAGAATAAGAAGTGACATTGAATCTCAACTTTTTATTTTTACATAATAGTATAAATTAGCTCTTTCTGTAACAGCAAATCTAATCAGTAAAATCCAAAAATCAAGGTTTCATTTTTCCACCACCTCAAGCACAAAGTTCAGAAGCGCTTTCCAAGTGGAAACAAAAGTATTTGTGTTTTTTTCTTTTATCAATTTAGCCATCTCTGCTAACTCATTCAGCTTTTGCAACCATGGATCCATTTATGGAATCAAAGTGTTCTTCCATTTTTGTGCATAAAGTAAATCTTGCTGCCATCAACATATACAACATCAATGTTCCAATTTTTTCCAGGTCTTTTTCCATTCCACCCAAGAGAAAAGTTTCTGGCTTTATCTTTATATTCAATTTTAGAATCTTCTGTATTACATAGAACATTGAGTCATAGGATTAGAAGGGACCTGTTAGTCCAGCCCCCTGCTCGAGCAGGAGACCCTAAACCATTTGCTCTATGGTTCTACTGTTTGTTAAAGGTCTTTCCTCGGTATAGCAAAAATCTTTGCTGCCCAAAGAGCCATTTCTGCCATGAGAAGGAAGCTGCAGACCACCGGCCCAGACAAGCCCACTCAGTTGCATTTGGATTCAAGGGTACCTTGGACCCAAGGACTTTTACCGTAGAATATGAATCCTACTCTTATTATTTCTTTGTTTTATCATATATCCACCATAAATTATAAAAAGTCCCCTCTTTACATTTGCATTTTCAACATTCATTGGAAATTATACATTCTTAATAAATTATCTGGTGTTAAATTCCAATGATACATCATCTTATAAAAAAAAATCTTTTAAATCATAATTTAATGTAAATTTAAACCTTTAAATCTTTTGTCCACATATTCTCCCATTGTTCAAGCTTTACATTGCACCCAAAGTTCCTTACTCATTGAATCACACAATGCTTTATATATTTACTTCCCAAATTCAAATTCAGTAACATTTTATAGACTTTAGCAATAATATGTTCATCACTACCACACTCTAAGATTTTCAATTCAATATTGTAAATATGGAGAGCAGTGGCAGAAATGTCTTTCTGATTCTACCTCTTCCTTAAACTTGAAGGTAGGAACACAAAAACTTATTATTTAATGTAAGTCCATCAGTCTAGCTTTCCATCATTTCTTTGTTTAAAAAAAGCTCTATGGGAGACACTCATCTGTTCTATTTTTGGTGCTGACAACAGCATAGAAGAATTAAAAAAAATAATATTGAAAAACCCAATAATCCATATAAACAAAGTTTGGGATCAAGAAAAATATTTGAGCAGATTACAAATTGTTACAACAATAAAAAGAAAAAAAATTATTAAAACAAGAGAGGAAAAAATAAGTACTGATGAGAAATCAGGGTAAGAATAACGAAAACAACACATACAATCTAAAGAGGATTACAGTCACCTATGCCAGGGATGGCTAACCTTTTTGTCATTGCATACCAAAAGCATGTGCACGTGCCTGCACCCAAAATGCAATGTGCATATGTCTCCCATCTGCGTGCTCTGCACATGCGCGAGTAATGGCCACGCACACCCCTTCCCCCTCTGCATATGTGCCCGCTACCGCGCCCTGATTTAGCTTCCAGGTTGCCTCCTGCACTAACCTGTAAGCCAAAACGGGGAGTGGGGTGCTGTGCAAGGCCCCAAAATGCAATGTAAGTGCACTGTGCATGTGCCCCTCCCCCTGCACATGTGCGCGCATCCCCGCATGTGTCCCCGCACATGCATGATGGACAACCTGAAGACCAGCTGATTGGCAGGAGGTGTGCGCTCATGCATGGTGGCGTTTGGCTGGAGTGATGGCTGGCACATCCTCAGAGGTCTTTGCGTGACACCTGTGGCATGTCATAGGTTTGCCATCATGGATCTATGCCAAAAACATGGCAAAAGGACTCCAGGCTATTCAAACACTAGTACTCTAGATTTGGAGCCATTCAAATCTTGAGGTAATTTCAAAGAAGCTACAGAAGATATTAATAACTGCTACCGTTTTCACATAACTATTCTCATACACATTCCCTAAGGAAAAAAGTTATAATAAAATATTTATGTGCTTTCTCCCAATATAAAATATTTTAAAAATTTGATTGATATAAGCATTTTTATGTAAACTTTCTGATAAGCATAATTGTTTACCTGTTGAGGAGTTACATCACATTCATCTGCTTCACATAGTATACATATTCTTTATCTGTCTATCTATTGTTTATTGTATATTGACAAACCAAGTTGGGTTTGGCGATCTCATATGTAACTAGCAACTTAGGCATTAAGTATAGCAGTCACTAAGTGAACCTATAACTTCAGCTTTCCTTGGTTTTATAGACCTGAAGAGATTGTACAGTACATGCGAGGATTGATCGCAAAGTTACTTTTTCATCACCATCATAAGTGAAGAGTCACTAAATGAAAGCTACAGGTATGTTAGATACACACACACACACACATACACAGAAAAACGTATATATAAAATATTTTATTTACTTCAAAATTACTCGTTCCTAAAAACCTCATTTATAATGTACAGTATATGTGTTTAGTTTTCTTTAGACAGTTTAAAAAAATGTATTATTATTTAGGAAAGGATGTTATATGTCGTTTACCTAGTTAATTGTTGAGTGTAATTGAGATGACGTATATCAAGCTGTTATCACTTCCTCCACTTATACAGATGCTGTAACTAGCCTTAGACATTTTAAATACAGTTAAACATTAATTCTGTAATTTTTTTTTAAAAAGGTATAGGATTATGGTTAAATTTGACTTCAAATTTGAAAAATTTCTACTAAATGTTTTACCATAAGTCAAATGCAGCCTGATACAGTATACTCTGAACACAAGTTTAGTAAATGTATCCCAGGTGAATGAATAGAGAATTTCAATGCAAGTTATAGAACTATTTTTCTCAACTTCTTCTGTCATCAGATGTGTTAGATGTGTGATTTCCTAGAATTCTCAGTCATGGCTCCTGATAAAATAGTAGTGGCAATCTATTGGAAAAGTTCTATAGTGGACACTATCTAAAGGTTACACTTCACAGTTGAAAAATAATAGAATGACTTTATCATTCAAAGCTCTTGAATAATGTTTGCTGCTCTTGAAGTACACTATGTCCTGGTTGAAAGTCAGTTTGGTATAGTGGTTAAAATATGAGGTTACAAACCAGGGATTGTGAGTTCTGGTGTTGCCTTGGGCACAAAGTCAACTGAGTGATTTTGGGCCAGTCACTTTTTCTTAGCCTAGGAAGAAGACAATGGCAAACTACTTTTGAAAAATTTTGTCCACATTTTGCCTTTGAGAATCAGACATGATTGAACAGAGGGAAAAAATACTATACATGAAACATTTTGTTCATTTGAATAAAAGGCTAAATTAGCCTTTTGACTAAGACTTCTGAAAATTTCAAGTAACATTTGAGAGTTTGGGAATCCTCGATAACAAATGCACTTGTTTATAATACAAACTAAATTAATCCCATCTGTGGTGCACTATAGATGAAATATTTTTGCTATTGTAAGAATACACATAAATGATATTGCATGGGATTACAGAATACTGCTATGTAGATTTGTTAATGTATGTATAATACTTGAAATCACATTTAAAAATAATCTGGTAATCATATAAATATAGCTTGTAGAGATGACATAAATACTACAAATTATGGCAACACAAGTAAAACCCACAATTTTTGGATTAGACAAGACTGCAAAATATTTCTCACTATATTATAGGATAGATGCTGTAAGTATTGCTAAAGGGTTATTTTGTGGGCTGGGCTATGCAGTGCTTTGAACATAGGCAACCCATGAAGCACTTGTCAGTATTTCCTTAAATCACATGTGTCTTTTCTAGAGAGCAATAGCTGCGGAGGGTAACCATACAATCTCAAGCAAAGGCCCTACTGGTTTAAATATTTGTCAACAGGTGCTACACGCTCCCCCATGTGCTCTGAATCACTGTACTGCTGCTGAATCAGTTCTGTCTGTATGATCTTACACTGTCATCTCTTCTATTTGGCAGTTGAATTGATTTATTTCTGGCTCAGCTGCAGTAGAGTGCAGAAAAACTAGTCTGAAACTCATGACTTCCCCATTTGGAATAACTTGCTTCTCTATGATTTCCACCTTCTGAGCTATAGACTCCCTAAAGTGAGTTAAGAGCCTCACAGTTTCCCATGGTTCAGGAAACTTTCTTTTTCGCATATGATCAGAGAAATGCACATAACATTAAATGAGGACATGAAAGTGCAAGTAATTTATTTTCTTTTTTCATGTTGAAGGACATAAGGTGGTTCTTTTTTATTTTTATTTTTAATTCTAGGACCAATGGCAGCTTAGATAGGGCAATGATTTCATAATATTCTGTATTTTCTGTTCTCTATATTTCAAAGTTGGGAGAAGTGACGATGATTATCGATGATTTTCAAATTGCTTTTTGGTAAATTTTGGGATGATACAATTGCAACTTGGAAATGCCTGTGAATACTTAACTTTGGAAATGGACAAATGCCAGAGCTTCATGATATTATTATTTCTTGAGAACAGGAAGGACAATTCTTTTCTGAATATAAGCTCTGCCTCTTTTCAAGGAAATTTTGAAGTTTAGATCTTTACAGCCATGTCCACTATTACCACCATGTCTCTTCAAGTGTGATCCTAGAAAAAGCTAGATGTCAATCTGTCTATCCCATGTGTTTACAAGTTAATAGAGTCAATGTAAATGAAAATCTGTAATGTAAATCCGATACTCATCTTGTGCATTGGCTGGATTACACTCGAATGCATTTTCCAAAATGTGCTATACAACCTAAGAAAGGAGCAGGCTCTGGGCTTTAATAGACACAAGTGCGATGAAGACAAATATATATATGTAGGAATATTCTTTGTGAAAAACAATATATGTGAAATAAAATGTAAACTACATTGGCCCAAATGTAAAATTAATGCCTTAGGCATACCTACATTTATACTCTTGGAATTGTTTAATGTTATAATACATAGTTTAATTTAAACAGGTCATTAAAAAGATAGATAAAGCATGAATAGCATTAGTACACTAATTTATTTATATCCCATCTTTATTATTTTTATAAGTAACTCAAGATAATAAACATACATAATGCTCCTTTTTCTTCCTATTATCCCCATAACAGCTATCCTGTCAGGTGAGTTGTGCTGAAATTATGTGTACATGGTACCGTATTTTCACGACCATAAGCCGCACTAAAAATCCTAAATTTTGATCCAAAATCGGCA